AGCAGTGAAAATCATTTAAATATTACTTTTCTTTAATTGTGAGAATATCAGTGTGTGAAAATTGCCATGTGTAACCTTAGGAGTTGTTACAGCTTTCTAAAAAGCAAGCTTGCCTTTACAACTGCCATTCAGGAAGGATTGTTTCTCCTTTTACACATTCCCATTAAGCTCTTAGCACAGAATTAGACCCATATAATAATTTAAACGTGGTTCAGAACAGGTTCTTAAGGGTAGCTGTAAGTGGAAGTCTTATCATTCTGTGAGATTATTATGGCTAAATTCGCCATGAAGCTGCCACTCTCTGAGCTATTACCCTGAGAGTGGGGTTTTCTCTCTGTATTTACCCAGTTTGTGTTGAATGAGCAAACATCAAGTTGTTGGCTTAATTCCAAGGTTTGGCAAACAATTGCTCCCCTGTGTGTGGGCTTATTTATTTATTTCTGGTTGTTCTCTGCAAGAATCTGTCATATCAAGTCCCTTGAAGGGATACTGAAAATATGCTCTACATTTGGAGGCAACTCCATTAGTTCATCTCTGGTGTTACTGCAAGTGTTCACACATAGACTGCAAAATTCTTGATTATGCAAATATGTGCAAATATATTGTCATGTATGTGTGTTTTAATGACAATATTCTGGTACAATTTTCCTTTACCAATAGTAGTTTATCACACAGCTGCTCGTGGACAGACTTGTGAGCTTTCTAAACGTGCTTGGCACTGTTACTGAGGCAACCTGCCCCGGAGGATTCCAGGGATGAAAACTTGAGAGGCCCCTCGCATCTGAGCCACTCAATGTGTGTGTGAAGCAGAGCGCTGTTTTCCAGAAATACAATGTTTGGGTTGAAGTGTCTGACAAAGGAACATGAAGAACCAGAACAATATGGGGTTTTGAAATTAGGTCTTTAAATTCAAGATGACTTTTGAAATGCCACCCCATTTCTTACAATCTGGCGCTCTCTTTTCTTTCTCCAGAAGCTGCAATGCTTGCTGCACGCCCACTCGGGAGGCAAAGCAGCAGAGCTGCACAGTGAAGTTTTGTCCCTGCTCCACAGCCCTCCTGTTGAACAGGGTGCTCCAAGCAAAGTGTGGCAGGGTTTTAGCAGCTGAATGAAGCCACTTAAAATGTCTTACAGGCCCGTAGTTCAGTTAGCTAATGAGATAAATTCCCCCGTGCAGCCGCCAGTCCCTAACAGGTTGGCTTGCCCTTCTGGAAGCCTTAGGAGCTCTTTCAGCCCCTTAGAATTTCACATAGTTATTTAATACCCTTGCGGGAATTACTTTATCATTTTAAATCCGAGATCGGCAAACATTTTTGTAAAAAGCTAGATAATAAACATTTTTGGCTCTGCGGGCCATATGGTCTCTGTCACAGCTACTCGATTCTGCTCTTGCAGCACAAAAGCAGCCACAGATAATGTGTAAACAAATGAACGTCTGTGTTCCAATAAAACTTTATTTATGGACACTGAAAGTTGAATTTCATATCATTTGCATGAATCACTAAATAATATTCTTTCTTTTTCTTTTTTTCCAGCTATTTAAAAACTATAAATTCCATTCTTAACACATGTGTCAGACAAAGGCAGGCAGTGGCCTGGAGTGGGGGCATCGTTTTCCAATCCTTGCTAAGCCAATAATTGACTGTTCAAATAAAAATGCCAACATAGCCTCCAGCTTCCCTCGTTTACTTAAATGTTGGCAAGCATCAAAGATGTCAGCTGTTACTGTAATAATTAGTCAGTTGAGACATGTTTGGGATTAAAGGTCAGCATATAATATTTCTATTCATAGGAAGAATGCCAGTAATCCCAGTGGATTTGGTGTTGGGTTCAGAACTGATTTCTTTGTGTGACTCCATCTCCTAGAAAAGCTCAGGGTCTGGGTCTGAAATTGAGATTGGAAAGGTTTCAGTGCGAAGTCTGACACTTGTCAGCTGTGCGGTGCTGACCGCGCCTGGATGTACTCACTGCCTGAGAGGAGACCTCTGTGCTCTCCGCTTTATTGGCCTCCCAGGAAGGGGAACCCCCTCTCAGAACGCAGCAGAGAGGGGATAGGGGCTCCAGTCCCTCACAAAGATCCCTTCTCCACCAGGGAAGCAGTACAAGAAACTGGTGTGACACTCAGTTTCCTTACACTCCTACTTATAATTTGATGCATCAAGTTGCTTCCCAGACTGAGAATCCCTTGATAAAATTCAGTGTCTCTTTTCTCCTATGCCCGACTGCCTAATAGACTTGATTTTAACTCTCCCCCATCATTTCCCTCCTCACTTCTTTCTTCTTCCATCCATATTCCCTTTTTCCTTTCTGTCTTTGGAAGTAATAATTTAATGTTCACACGTGTCCTATACTCTTCCTATGTAGTATGATCCTGTACCAACAGCGATGGCATCACTGGGAGCTTCTTAGAAATGTGGTATTTACCCCCCCAAAACCATTCAGAATCTGCATTTTAACAAGACCCCAGAGTGTGCACATTAAAGTTTGGGAGGCACTTTTCTTTGTAATATTCTTATCACACCAGAGAAACAAAGCTCAAGAAAAACTTCAGGCTTAAATAAATAGACTGGAGGGAAACAGAGAAGTAACCTGCTCAAGATTATTCAGAATTGCAGAAAAAAATCAAGATAGTAGTGAAACTTCAAAATGAGCGAGTGATGGCCTTGCTTTGGGAAGAAATCCAAGGACTTTTTCCTCCAGCAGTCTTCAAGGCGGAAACGGGTTATCCCATACCAGAGCATGCTAGTTAAGGACCCGGAGCACAGAGCACTGGTAGAGCACCCCACCTCCTGCGTGGAGGGAGACATGGAAATGATGCTCATCCCGTGGTGAGGGCTGGGGTGACCGAGGCCACTTCCCTGCAGAGAGAGGCCTGTAGGGGAGAAGGGTGAACAGAGCAGAGCCATTCCTTGGTGTTTTGGCATATAAGGGAAAAGGCAGTGTGAATTGGTAGGTATTTTATCACCAGCATGGGAGTGGGGGAGTGGGGGAAGAAACCCTGATTTGTAGCCTTTATTAATTTTCGTGGTGCACATATTCCCACCCTGGCTGACTTCAAACTACCAATGTGATACCACTGAACATGGACATGGGAAGAGACACAGAAAAGCGCACCATTATAGGACAGTCCCACTATATAAATACAACAGATGTAAACGAACTAAAAAATATAATAATACTAAGCTATAGTAAAATATTTAGAAACTGATGGGTTGTATTTGGTCCCTTCGTTCTTAATAGAACTCACTTAATTGTAAGTGTATATAATCTAAATTTTAATAATGGTTGTGTTTAATGACCAGATCCAAATATTCCTGACAACCAGCATTCATGAGACAGCATAAGCGGGCTCTAGCTCATCCGTGGAAAAAGGCATTTGCATGCCTTTGGACTGCAGTCATAGTATGCCTCAAAAGATACCTGTACCATACACTTGGGTACCACCCCATATATTCACAGGGATATTCCAGCAAGCCCGTGTTTGCAGTTTGCTTTAAAAGAGGGGGAAAAGGCCGTTTGCAGTACTTCACTCATATCATTCATCCTACAAACTTTCATTAAACTTTCTCAGGAACGTGTTATAGGTGTCTTCTGTGTTAGGTTATTGTAGTTGAAAGTTTTCCAGTTTCCAGTTGGAACATTTCATGTGACTTCTTACACCGTGAGTTAATTTCTTCTGAGCTGCTCCCCAAACACCATTTAGCCTTGTTTCAACTCTTCACTCACAAAATGGGAAAGTGTGTTGTTCAGTAATTATAATGCTTTGACTTGAGTTTCCTCTTTCCTCTTCAATTTTAGTAAAGAAAAATTGGCACACATCATCCAAGCCATAAGGGGGGAGAGTGAAAATGAGTTTAAATGCTATAAAGTAAACAATCAGCTTCTTATAATAGAGCTGACCATTAATTTCCTGGGAAGGCTCCAACAGTTTCACATTTCCAAGAACTCTTACCAATTTTTTTCTGGGCGGATACCTGGAGGGACTGAGTCAGGCCACCTGGTTCCTCATCCCAGACTCCTCATTAACGAGTCAGCTCCCCGCTCCCCCCACATCGAAGTCACTCAGTCTCCCTAAGTTTGCAGCCTGTAAAATAAGCGGTTGATCCATGATCTGTAAATTCCCTTTTAGCTTCTTTTGGTTTTAATTTTCCAAAATAAAAATTAATCGAAAATATAATAAAGGGGAAAATATGTTGCTCATTTGAGAAGCCAGCTTGGCCTGCGTCTTTTGATGGATTACACCGTTTTAATTTAATTCTCTTAGGGAAGTAGGATATCCACGCTCTTTCCTAACAGCTCATAAAATACGTCTTCCATAAAAATGATGTGCAGAACCCATTTCTTGGCTGCTGAGCTGTTTGTGATCCTACATGTCTGGATCTCTATTTGTGTGACCGTCCTCTCGCGTGGCCATCCCCACCCGACGACACTGCGGTCCGGCGCTGTCCCGGGCGCCTTCACTGCCCACCGGTCCTCAAGAGCTGCTTCCGCCGACTGGACTCCCACGTCGCCTTCTCACAATCACAGTCCCCACGGAGTCTGCAGCACAAAAGCCAACAGCTGGAGTGAGGGTCCCGGGCACCGAAGGTGGCGGTGTATGCCGCTGAGCCTTAGAAAGGAGGAAAGAAGTCCACGCGGGATGCTTACATTACGGTCCTTGAAACTCTAACGGGGCCATCAGCGGGCCTTCCCCTCCCTTCGCTTCGGAGAGGGCTGTCATTTGCATCCCGGTTGTGAATTAGACACCTCCGATCTTCCAGCTTTCAGTTACAATGTCCCAGGGTTGGGTGATTCTGTTTATTGTGGCAACAGTTTCCGGCAACTGCCCAGGTGCCAGCGCCTCCTGCCGAGCCTTTCCTGGCCGGAGGTGGGAGAGGCGGCGGCTCTGGAGCGCAGGGAAGGAGGTGCAGGACGCGGGGCTCAGGGAAGCGGCTGCGAGCGCGCCCGGGGCGCACGGGGGAGCCCGGCCCGAGAGGAGCGCGCAGCGCGCAGCGCGCAACATGGGCTGTGGACCTTCCCAGCCTGCAGAGGAGCGGAGATTCGTCCCGGCGCCCAGGAGGGGCTGGGAAGAGGGATTCAAGGTAAAACAGGCAAAACAGGCATAAAGCCTTAGCCACGCGTGGGGAAGGCTGGAGTGGGCCGGACCAAGGTCGTTGGGGCTCACGGTGGACGGCGTGTAGGGTGGGAAGCTTAGAAACAACTCTATCTGTCCAGTGTTTAATTGTTTTAACCGGGATTCTTGCTGCTACAGGACCAGCGTTGAGAGTCTTGTTTCAAGAGCTACAGAAACTGATCACACCCCAGGGCAGAGGCAGAGGGAGAGGCAGAGGCAGGAATAGCGGGATGAGGGGTGCGTTCTGCACAAAGATGGGGTTGGAGGTCATTCTCAGGGGCGGGTGAGGGCGCCTGGGAGCTGCCATATATTTGCTTCCAGTAAGTGGGCCCTTTGGGAATTACTTAGAGCTGGAAGAGATCTCCCTGGCCCCTTGAGGGCCCTGAGGCCCAGAGAGGTAGACAACTTACCCAAGGCTGCACAGCTTGTTTGGGGGGCAGGGCTGGAGAAAGAATCTAATCTTCAAAAGTCTCATTCCAATACTCTTTCCACTCTGCCTCAAGATTACATCCTCCTCAGTTCTTCTGGAGAGCTGCAGGGGAATTTTTTCCAGGGTGGGGAATGGAGGGATGGGTTGGCGCAAGCAGAAATGAGGTCCATGATTTCTCCCCGCCCTCACATGCAAGACTCCACAAACAGAACTAAGAACCCACAGGAATCTCCTCGAGAGGAGTTTCCCAAAGTTAATGTTACCACATAATTTATCATCAAAAGCAAGGTACTTTTAAGAATGAAAGAGAACACTGTTAATAAGTTTGTCCAGGTATTCTGAGTTAAGCCCGTATTGTCACTTTTCCTAAAGGGCATTTTTTGGAACTACAGTTTAAAGAGCACACCCTTTCTGTCCTCAGGTGATGTGCAAGACACTATTCAGTGCCAGTTACAACACCTACTGTGTGAGAGGAACATTGGCTGGGCTCTTGGAGTCAAAAAACAAACCAGGGTCTCGTGAAGGCTGAGACTCAGGCTTAGCACCTGCTGCCCTGGGGGACAGCAGCAGAAAACATCTCCTTTCCACCCCAGCTGCCTCGGCCTACACGTGGGGCCTGATCGCCTCATCCCAGGTCTTTCTGCCTCTCCTGGTACCGCTCTAACCAGTCTGCTCCCCGCGCTGCCACCTACCTCCCTAAAAATACGTTTTCTGGAGTATGCAAAACCCTTGACGTTTGGTCCCACCAATCCCTCTAATGTCATCCTCTTCTCTCCAGTCCCTCTCACTCATGGACTTTCTTGTCCACAAGCCAAGAGCTTGCAATGTTATGCCCTGTCTGGTGTGGCTCAGTTGGTTGGAGAGTCAGCCCATAACCAAAAGAAAGGTTGTGGTTTGATTCCCAGTCCAGGCACATGCCCAGGGTGTGGGTTTGGTCCCCATCTAGGCAGTTACGATCTTCAGTTTGGGAGTATCCAGGAGGCAACCAATCAATGCCTCTTTCTCACGTCAATGTTTCTCCCTTCCTCTCTCTCCAAAAGTAATGGAAAAAAAAAAAAGTCCTCCCTAGTTCCTCCCACTCCTAGTGTCTGCCTCTCTCCTGGTAACATAACTAGACTAAGGACAGTCAGCAAGGAGGAAATCCAGTATTAAAATAACCTGAAAATAGGTTCAAAGTCGACTCACGCATATGTCTCTTTCCCCACCCTAAGTACTTGACTTTGGAATTCAGATGGAGAAAGGTATAATTATTAATTAAATACTAGCTATCAGGACAGTACCGCTTCTGCTACCTTCATAAATTCATGGGACTGTGAGTTCAGTAGTTCAGCAGTGTCTTTAAAATCAGATGGACATGTTTACTTGCATGAAATATGTATGTTTCATGGTGGCACAACTTTAAAATAGTCTGAATCAAACTTCTTGAGATCTGCCTGCACACTTTTTCTTCACTTTACCTTAGTCTAAAGTGATGAGAAGTCACTGAAATAAAATAATGCATAATAAGAAATTATGGGAAACTTTTCTTCATTGGGGAAATCTCTTTCTATATGATTAACTTGAAGTTTCTGCCTGTTATAAAACAGACAGGCTACATTGGAATAGATGACCTCCAAGGATCCTTCATAGTTTCCCCTAATATTTGACAAGAAAATTTTCGCTTACTGTCAGTTAAAGGGACTAAATATTTCTTAAAGTTCAATTTTTAGAAGAACATATTTCTGACTGGCATTTTTTTTTGAGAGTTGCCATTTGTTATTTCATTCATTAGAGTAAACTATAAAAAAATAAATTTTGAAGAACAAACTCTTCCTATATGTCTGTGGACAAATATATTTATAAAATGTATCTGCCAGTAATTGATTTAAGAAGGTTTAAGCTCCAGGGAGCCTTGACAAATGACTCCCTCCAAGTTGTTTGGAAAATTTGTTTCCCAAAACTTTGGAATACATATGATACCTACAAACCAAACCAAACAAAACAAAATCCTATAGTTAAAATCAATATCTTTTTTTGGAATGTTGATGACTCTTATGCATAGCTGTTAGCTTGGAATTCCTAGTTTTTCAATTTTGTGTAAAATTGATCAAATTTTATTGCCAAGACAGTGAAGTATAAAACAAAATTGATACAAAATGCAGAAATGCATTGAGTCAGCGCTTCTGCTACAACTTCATCTCAAGGAAAAAATAAAACCTCCCACCCACTTCCCTCCCCCTCCCCCAGTCCCATGGCAGATAGACTTATTGGTGTGAAAATATAAACTCAGCATGTACAGAAAGGACAAGAAAACTGTCTTTGACATATGGCTGAAAGGCATATGTCTAATTAATTTGTAAATATCTCTAGTCTTTGAACTATATCTATTCCCAAATCTAGATTATGAAATTGCGTTATAATTTCCAGAATGTGTTGCACATAGACAAGATATTTAAAAGACATTCTTAGTTTTCAAAAGAGAAAAATCTTAAATTTCTGCTCTGGCTACTGAAGGCTGGTATATGTTACTTTACCATATAGTAAAGATTGTGTTTCATCTGCTACCATTTAAGTTTTGGCCACTAACAGAGCTTGAAGGCAGATTGTATCCAAACAAGCATAAGTGGGAAAAACTTGCTAAGGCCTGGATTGGTCACTTCCATGAAACGATTGGGAGGTCAGTCATTCAGGGTCATAGCATTTAAATCTATTCCAATTTGTAGTTGACAGAGTGGTTGTTAAAAGACACCTTTTAGACTGAAAATATTCCAATTTGCTTTCAGCTCCAATGTGGGTATTTTGTTTCTTGTTGTTATTGGTAAATCAGTTAAATTTTTCAAGGTCTCCACTGGGAAACGTGACATGGCAAAGTTAATCCCCGTGTGTTAGTTGGTTTTATAATTCAGTACAAGATAGACCTGCAAAACAAAATGAACTTGTGAAAATATCCGTCTTACTATCACTGCCGAAACAGGGTTTGATAGTTTTTTTTGGAAAGAAGGAGAAGAATGCCCAACATGGTCTTTAACTCCAGTAGGAACTGAGCACCCCTGGAAGGTTAGCATCAGATAGGCTCTCCTTTTCCTTTGTTATGTGTAACAACAACATCAACAACAACAAAACAAACCAAATATACACAGGGTGGGTCAAAAACAGGCTTACACTTATTCACATGGAACATAATACAATAAAAATAATAACACAATAAACTGTTTCACATGCTCACAACTGTAAACTACTTTTGCCCCACCCAGTGTATGTTATACATGATAAAGGAAAAGGAGACCCTGTCTGACAGAATGATAATTATTACCTAACGATATAATAGCATATAATACGTTCTCCGTAAAGACTTTTCCCAGTGGGCTCTCTCTAGAGGGACCGCCCAGCGGTAACCATGTCTGTGAAGAAAGACAGATGGTGAGAGGAAGAGAAAAACACATAGCTGCTCTCAGGCTTTCTCTTTGTGCCGATTCTTATTTCAGATGCGCAGAGTTTCTGTTTGCTTACTTATTTTGTTTGTTCAGTTTGTTGATTTTTTTTTCCCCAGCTTCCCAGGTAGTCCCAGACACAGAACTAATTAATCCTCAACCCAATAAACTTGCTGTTGGTTTAGCTGGAGTGATCATGTTATGTAAACACAGTGATAAGGAACTCTGTGAGTCTCCGGACACACTAGAGCCCCTCACTGAACTCAGAGAACCTGAGGGTGGCAGGGCCTTACTTAGCTATTGTGATTTCTACTTAGCCCCTCGGGGACTTGACATGTTGGAGTACTTCTAGAAAGTGGTCAAATGGCTTTAGATTTTAAAGAAAGTTGTCTGATTTTTATTGTAAAAATATCAAGAGTTTCATGCTAGTATCCTAGTTTGAATTCCATTTTCCTGTTTTATAAAGGAATGTTTTCTCTTTAGTTCTGGAGTGCTAATTCAGAGCCAGAAGGGACCACCCTCCTTCAAACTGAAGCTCTGCAAGGTCTGTTACTACCTTTCTAGTATTTCCGAGGCCACCTCTTTTCCTCATTTTTACTGACTCTGTCCTAGGTGGTGTTTAATCAAATTTCACATGGACAATAATACAATGGTAACTAGCTGCCTTGTTCTGTTTCTTCCTTCCTTCAATTCTTGCCATTGCACTATTTCAAGAGTGATCTTTCTAAAAAACACAACTGATCATTTCTTTTACTTCCATACATGACAGTCCTACAAAGGATTACTGTTGCATTCAAAATAAAATCAAACTTGTTTACTTGCCACAAAAGACTTCCCTTCCCCACCTCAGCACCTGACACTTTCTACTTTGGCCTGTTTCTGATACAGTGGAATAATTCAGGTTGAATTCAAGTTCATAGACACACAATATTGTCTTATGTTTGTGTGTGCTTTTTCTTCTAATTTCCTCTTTGCTCATTGGAAGTTCAATCATTAGGCCCAATTCAGGCATTCTCCTCTTTAACACCTTTTGCTCTACCCCCCAAAAGATACAGACTTGTACCAGTGTATCAGGGCTGTGCTACAAAGGGCAGGAGTTAAGAGGGCGGAATCCTGAGGCCTCTAAAAGACTTTGGGGAGAAGAGGAGCACCTGTTGGGTCAAAAATGTGAAGTCAAAGACTTAAAGAAGAATAGCCAGAAGGCAATATTCTGCAGAAGATGCTTATGTTCTTGTGTCTTCTGAGGATACTGAAGAGACTTTCTCTGCCTTGTGTCTTAGATAAGAGAATAGGTTGGCTTACTTATTAGAACTTCTAGAAGCTCCTAGTGGATGAGAAGTGGGAAAGCTGCAAACCAAGCAAGGAAAGAAGGGCCAGCAGCACTGGGAGAGAGGGGATGTGGCATTAGAGGAGGTAGGAGGAAGGTTTTCCTGAACATATTTAGTATTTAAAATATACTTCTTCTAAAAATAAATGCCCACTCTTTACAGTGAATTAATTGAGCTTTTTCTTATTTTTCTTCTTTTGCTGTAGAACTATGAGACACTTGACACCAACCAGCGTTTTGGAGTCACTGGTTTACTAAATCATACACAGCCCCTTTTCACACTGTGCTTTGACCTATTTACAAGCAGTAGAGTTGTGGTGCCAAGAAATAGACATCCCTAAAAGGAGAAGGTGGGACTGTACGTCAGGGCAGGGTTTAAGAAGGGCCCTCGGGAAACACATATTGATATAAAAATGAGCATATCCTTTGATTTGACATATCCATATCTAGGAAATTATCCTCATGGGATGACTCGGTAAATTCAGGCTGATGCATATGCATAGATACTATGCCAGCACTGTTTATTATATTGATAAGTTGGCAACAACCAAGTTGTCCTTCAGTAGGATTCTGTTAACTAAATTGCAATACAGTTACATAATGTACTACAATGCAAACAGATATTGACTACCTTCCACCATTAAATATTATTACTTCTATGACTCCATATTATTTCTATCGTCAGCAAAAACAATGAAGCTAGTATCATTAAAAAAAAATATTTAACCCTGGTGGGTGACTCAGTTAATTAGAATCAAAAGGTTGTGGGCTTGATTCCCCATCAGGGCACATACCTAGGTTGCGAGTTCGATTCCTGGTCGGGGTGCATAAGGGAGGCAACAGATCTATGTTTCTCTCTCACATCAATGTTTCCTTTCCTTTCTCTAAAATCAATAAACAAATCTTCTCATGAGGATTAAATTTTTTTTTATTTTTTTTACACAGCTTTTACACAGAGTATTTTTTTCTTTACTTTTTACATTTGATTATTATGAACTTGTTAATTTGTCTGTCTTTCAGAATGCTCAGCATAACAGCTTGTACCTGATAGATTCATATTTGATATTACAGTTGACCCTTGAACAATACAGGGGGTTAGGAGAACCAACACCTCTTACCGTTGAAAATCCGTGTATAATTTTTAATTCCCCCAAACTTAATTAGTCATCCCTTGGTATCTGTGAAGGGTTGGTTCCAGGACAACAACCCCCATCCCCCTTGCAAATATTAAAATCTGAGGGTGCTCAAGTCCCTTATATAAAATGGTGCAGAACAATGCATAGAACTGCCCTCCAAATCTGCACATTGACTGGAAAATACTGCTTTTGATCCATGGTTGGATGAATCCCCAAATGCGAAACCCATGGCTACAGAGAGGGCTGACTATTGAAAAAATTATGTGTATAAGTGGATCTATGCAATTCAAACCTGTTGTTCAAGGGTCAACTGTCTATTACTTTTCTATTTCTGCTATAACAAATTAGCATAAACTCAGTGGCTTAAAACAATATAACTGTGCTCTCACAGTGCCAGAGATCAGAAGGACAGAATCAGCTTCACTGGGCTAGAGTCAAGAGGACAGCAGGGCGGATTCCTCCCAGAGGCGCAGTGGAGGGGGCTTTTTCTTGCCTTTCCCGCGTTTAGGGCTGCATTTCCTGCATTCCTTGGCTGGCGGCCCCTCCCCATCTTTAATGCCGAGATTGTAGCATCTTCTAATGTGCTCTCTGCTTCCACTGTCCCATCACCTTCTCTGCAGTCCAGTCTCCCTCTGCCTCCCTCCTGTAAGGACCCTGTGATTACTTTCATAGTCCACTTGGACAATCCAGGCTAATCCTGCCATCTGAAGGTCTTTAATCACACCCGTAAAGTCCTTTCTGCCAAGTAACGTAGCATCTGCAGGTCTCGGGGTACTCCTCAGCCTACCACAGATAGCAGTTATCTAAACATTCACAAAGCCAGTCTGGCGACAGTGTCTTCATTTTCCAAGAATCCATTTTCTAAGAATCTTGACTCTTCCAAACAATTCTCTTTTTGCAGGCTGATGTGGGTGTGACTCATTCTGGGGAGAACCACAGAGCGCAGGCTGAGGCCGCGCTGTGCACGAACTCCGCAGGCACCCCCAAAGGCCCGGACACACAGGCCCAGTTGGAAAGCTTACCTGGAACCATTCCAGAAGGTTCCCCGTCTCCTGCTGGAAGAAACAGAATACATTTAGGTAAAAGACCCCTCACTCATGTTAATCTCAATAAAATACTGTCTCTCTAAATACATTTCGTAATATGTGCTTGGTGGCCCCTTTATCACAGCTTTGTGGGCAAGGAAGTGCTCTAAGTGTCCAAGTCCCTATCTCTAAGATGTCAGAAATTAGCCTTAGGCCTTCATTGTGTAGGCAAATAATGCTGACCATTACTTTCCGGACATGCAGTAATTAAACCATCTTTTTTCCCCCTTAACTGAGAGCCTCGTAGGCTTAAGAATAGAAGTTGCACAGGCTTTGGTTAAATTCCTTTAAATTCCTGCTATGTTAACATTTTTACAAGGGAAAATTCTACTTTTGAAAAAATAAACAAAACCTGCATCAGACTGTCTCCCTCATTCCTCCCCATCCAAAATATCAGCAAATATACAATGAAAGAATCTTTTAAAAACATAAAAGAAGTAATTATGACCTGGTGTGCCCCTTGAAATTGTATTTCTAAATATTTTTCTTACGGTATGTTTTTGCTTCAGTTATCCCCAATGTTGATATAAGAACTCTTATTTATATTTTATCAGCCTTTGAAACAAACTTGAACTTACCAGACCTCAAGGAAAAGTACTCTTTTATTTGGAGCGAAGGCTTTCATTTCATTCTTCATCACTATAGATTCTTCCCTAGGTACAAGTTAGAATTAGAAAGTAGATAGGTTATAAATGAGTTGGTTTTTTTTTTTCTTGGACTCTCGTGCACACTCAGGTTGTCACAGATTTCACGTTCATCCTTGACTGGCGCTCCTGGCGGGTGCAGACGTGACCTCTGAGAATGAGGGAGGAGAAGGGATGCAGCGCAAGGCGGCCTCTCCCTCTCTGTGTGTGTTGGACGTTTTCTCTCTGCAAATTCTGTCGATGGGAATCTTCCCTACAGCGCAACATGAATGCTCAGCATCTGCGGTGTTAACAAAGTAGAGAGAGCCCGGTGGGCAGGGGCCCGGCTGTGCCCTGACCGTCAGCCCTGTTGGCCCCACACTGTGGAACACGGGACCGGGAGGGCCCCCAGTGAGCACGACAGTGCTGCAAGAGACCGGCTTGGGGAGGGAGTGAACTACCGACGCACGTGTTTCCAAAACAAAGTGTAAATTAGTTTTCAAGAAAGCTCTTACCACAGGATGAATGAGAACGAGTGTCCTGAGCTTTATATTTTTTTCTCTACCCAATTTCCCCTCTGCTTTCTGCAGAGTATATTTGTTAAAAATTTCAAATTTCACACTCACATTTCCCAAATATTTCCTTCTGGAAAAAAAAAATTTCTTATTTTGAATAATTTTAGATTGAAGAAACATTGCAAGAAAAAAAAAAAAAAGAATGCCTATATTCTTTTACCCAGATTCCCCAAATGTTAACATTGTACCACAGTTGCAATTTCATAGTCTTCCCCCTTCTCCATCCCTCTCTCCTTCCCTCTCTCATATACACGTATATTTTTTTCTGAAAGTAAGGTACAGATATGGTCGTTTACTCCTAAATACACCAGCTTGTATTCCTTAGAAACAAGGGCATTCTTGGTAAAATCCCAGTATGAGGATCTGAATCAGGAAATGACCATTGATGCAGTACTATTATCTCATCTAAAGACCGCATTCAGATTTGGTCAGTTGTCTTACAAATGTCCTTTGTAAATTTCTGGTTCAAGAGCTAATTACATAAATTAATATGTAATTAATATGAACATAAAAATGTTCAGGATCACAAGTTTAATTTAGTTGTCATGTGGTTTTAGACCCTTCTAATCTGGAACAGTCCCTTGGCTTTTCTTTGTCTTTTATAACCTTGATATGTTTAGAGATACAGACTATTTATTTTGTAGAGTGTCCTCAGTTTGGGTTTGTCTTATATTTCTTCATGATTAGGTCCAGGTGATGCATTTTTAGCAAAAATGCCAAAATTATATTGTATCCTGCTCAGTACATCACAGCAGGAGGAATGTGGTATCTCTATTTGACTTTTATTGTGAGGTTTATTTTTGGCCTTGCAAAGTTTCTTTAATGTAGTAAAATTTATCCGTTTTTTTTCTTTTATCAAATCTGGATTTTGAGTCAGTTAGAAAGCTCTTCCTTATTCCACAGTTAATGACAAATTCACCCACGTTTTCTTGTATGACTTCACTTTCTAGACTCATGCTTGTGAAGAATTTCTAAAGGCAGGAGAAAAGGCTGATGTAAATGTTTCACTGCACAAGAAACAAAACTATATGTTCAGTGTGATAGCACATTTATAAAAGTAAAACTTGCTATATTAAAAATGGTGACCTCTGAATAGTAAAAGAATGGACATTTTTGTTGTCTTTTTTATCCTTTTCTATATTTCCAGTTTATGATGTATTACTTTTATAATCAGAAAGAAGTACAATGTGATTTTTAAATATTTCTCCAATATTCTCCAATGTCCCAGAAAGGATGAAAATTAGTCAAAATGACCGACATAGTCCCAGGATTTATGTATAGGTTAGCTACTGTAAATGTGAAGCCAAATATTTCAGTAGATTCAGAAAAGAAAGGATCGAAATGGTTAAAATAATTTTATGGTGTGACAGATGTCCATAATGACCTTTTTTTTTGTAGAAAAGTCCTTAGAGAGAAGTCAGCTGGGACCAGGGGGAGCCAGGTACATGTCATGTTTGGGAAGAGGACAGTGAGGTGGCAAAAGAACGTGGCTGGGGAAGTCACACCTGGGTCTAACCCCTAGTTAAGTTGCTTACTGTCCTTGTCACTGTAAGCAAGTTAATGAGCCTCTCATATCAGGTTGTTTATTTATAAAGTGGGGATAATAATACCTCTCTTATAGAGTTTATGTTTGATTTAGATGTTATAAAATATATAAAGTACTTAATATAGTGCCAGGTTAGAAATTTTCATGAGAAGACTCTATCCACTAGATGGAATGGATTTGGTTACTGTCCAGACTTCCTGATGATTACAAGATAGAAGAGAGCTCATTTCTGAAAACTCCCCTTTGCATTTTTTACCTTACAGTGTAAAGTTGTAAAAATGGATGCTTGCTTGTTTATTTATGTAATTGAGTGATTTGTAATAGGGGAGGCCTCTCAGTGCAGTTTATAAAGGTTCCCCTGTAAACTTGCTTCAGTGCCCTTTTTAGAATCACGGAAAAAATTTAGCTGATGTCACTTGACTCCAATTCTGATTTGGTTCAAAAACTCTTTTCAAAAAGGCATATTTTTACTTATGTAGATTTAGCAGATGGCGTAATTGTAAACTCAAGTTTGCACAACTAGAAGTCTCTTGGCAACACCACACTGTTTATCCTTTGTATACAAAGCATAGTAACCAACTGCAACACAGAAGAGTCACCAAAAGAATATCTCATTCTTAACTGTGGTTTAGCTTCATAATTAGTGCAGAGAACCCATGCAGTTGTACCCAAGTGTACAAGTGTTGTTACAACAAAAATCTAGTACATGGCAGAACATGAAAGACTTTTTGTTATGTTAATGTGGGTCTGCTTAGTAAACAGTGTTTTATGCTGATGTGTACCCTCTGTTAGAATATTAAGAATTTGAATTTCAAAGGATTCAAAGCTTTATAATAGAAACAGGTATTTAGGTAAGAGTGTTGAGTGTAAGATTTAATTAAGAAGCATGATTTAAATGGCATCCATTTGGCATTTGATTGACAATATTTTCAAGCTTAAATTTTGCTTTCATGTTTCTTTTCCCTTGGAAGACTTAGCGAACAATGGATTAATCCATAAATCCCAACCTCCACAGAATCGAGAGCGACAAAAGTCATCAGACATCCTAGAGGAATTAATTGTTCAAGGAATAATACAAAGCCACAGCAAAGTATCTAGAAATGGAGAATCATTCGATGTCATGGCAAGTAATTTTGTAATTAACATTATCTTATAGTTAAAAATAGCAATCAAATATGATTGATCACAAGTTATTTCCAACATATACATCTTAGAGTCACAATACAGACAGCATTTATCTAAGCCAGTTTTTTCTCCCATAAATTCTATCACCTCTCTGTACACCATCCTTCTCTACGGACTCAAAATTGTGCTAATCATTAATGACTAATGAATCCAGCAAAACCTATCTTGGGTTTTACCAAATTTGAGACACAATAAATCCCATTGAATAATATGCCTCGTTCTTCCAGCAGTTCTTATTATGCATTGCCTATGTACTAGAAACTGTGAATGTAAAACTGAACTCTGACTTCACCAATAAAAAAATAGGCCTAAATGGCAAAGCTGAAATGGATATGCTTATACATTTATATACACACTATGAGGTTAAACATGAAGAAACAAATATAGTTATAGAAATTGTTTCACACTTATGTTTCCTTGTTGAGTCATCTTTACTGATCTATCATTGTTTTTCCTTAGTGTGATCAATATATTTACTCTGATTTTAATTTATTGTGGCCAAAGTCTTGAGGTCTTCATATTTTAAATTACATTTATTGATTCTACTATTAAAGTTGTCCCAATTTTTACCCCTTTGTCCCCCTCCACTCAGCACCGCCAACTCCCTCAGGCAATCTCCACACTACTGTTCATGTTGGTAAGTGATGTGTATAAATTCTTTAGCTACTCCATTTCCTATACTCTACTTTACATCCCCATGGCAATTTTGTAACTACCTATTTGTACTTCTTAATCCCTTCACCTCTTCACCCACTCCCCTATACCCTACTCCCATTTGGCAAACATAAAAATGCTCTCCATATCCATGATTCTGGTTCTACCTGTTTGCTTAGTCTGTTTTTTAGATTCAATTGTTGATAGGTTTGTATTTTTTGCCATTTTATTGTTCATAGTTTTGATCTTCCTCTTTTTCTTAAATGAGTCTCTTTAACATTTCATATAATAATGGTTTGATGATGATGAATTCCTTTAGTTTGTCCTTGTCGGGGAAGTTCTTTATCTGACCTTCGATTCTACATGATAACTTTGCTGGGTAGAGCAATATTGGCTGTAGGTCCCTGCTTTTCATGACTTTGAATATTTCTTGCTAATCCCTTCTAGCTTGCAAAGTTTCTTTTGCAAAATCAGCTGACAGTCTTATGGGAACTCCCCTGTAGGTAGCAGCTCTTGCTGCTTTTAAGATTCTTTTTTTATCTTTAACCTTTAGCATTTTAAGACTTGTCTCAGAGTGAGCCTCTTTGCATCCATCTTATTGGGACTCTCTGTGCTTCCTGGACTTGTTTGTCTATTTCCTTCACCAAATTAGGGAAGTTTTCTTACATTATTTTTTCGAACAGATTTCCAATTTCTTGCTCTTTCTGTTCTTCTTCTAGCCCTGCTAGGATGTGAATGTTGAACCTCTTAGAGTTGTCCCAGACGCTGCTTACTCCACCCTTGCTTTTTTTGGATTCTTTTTTCCTCTTGTTGTTCTGATTGGTTGTGTTTGGTTTCATTATGTTCCAAATTATTGATTTGATTCTCAGCTTCATTCACCCTACTGTTGTTTCCCTGTGAATTGTTCTTTATTTCAATTCATAACTGGGTCTTTTTTATGCTGTTGAGATCCTTATTAAGTTCCTTGAACATCCTTATAAACAGTATTTTGAACTCTGCCTCTGACAGATTGCTTATCTCCATGTTGTTTTGTTCTTTTTCTGGAATTTTGATCTGCTCTTTCATTTGGGCCATGTTTCCTTGTCTCTTCACTTTGGCAGCCCCTCTGTGTTTGTTTTTATGTACTGGTAGAGCTGCTATGACTCCCTGTCTTGGTAGCATGGCTTAATGTAATTGGTGTCCTGTAAGGTTCAGTGGCACAGCTTTCCCTAGCATCCAAACTGGGTATTTGAGGTGTGCCCTTTGTGTGCTGAGTACATCCTCCTCTTGTAGTTGAGCCTTGATTTCTGTTGGCATGTCAATGAGAGGGGTTTACCCAGGCCAGTCTGCTGTAAGGATTATCTGTGACCACTGACCACAAACCTCCACCCCCCATGGAGGATCAGCTGTGTAGGGGCAAGGTGGTGGTAGTCCAACATGGTCTCTAGCTATCCACTGGGTGCACAGACCCTGGGATTTTCCTGCTGTTGCAGACCACACGTGCTTTGCCTGGGGCCACTCTGCACAAGCTATAAAGCAATCTGAGATGACTGCTGCTTGTGCTGACCTTTGTGATATCAAGGTGAAGCCAAACTGTCAATCTAGGCTGGTTGCTGCAAGTGCCTGGCCAGGGGCCACTTAGCAAGAGGTACAGGGGCTGGGGACTCACTGAGGCTTATGTGATAGGATTTAGGAAGTTGTGAAGCATGAGCCAAGACCAGCTATTCATATGGAAAAGACACAATTAACAGCTGTAAATTGGGTGGGACAGAGCCTCAGGGGATCTCCAGGGCAGGGAAACAGTGTTAGCCAGGTTGATGGAGTCTCAGATGTGGCACCTACCCACCAGCTCTGTGGCTTTGTTGGGGGAACACTCAGAAAAAGGACAATGGCCTCTGCCTGCCTTTCTGTCTGGGAGAAAGCTGTCCCCCAGCTTTTGCCTTGATGCCAGACACTTCAATTCCTTGCTGTATGCCACTGGTACCTTTCAAGCTGCTGGCTCAGTGTTGGAGCTCAGAAAGAGTGAGTCTGAGTAAGTCCATGTGTGGGTTCTTTAAGAGGAACTGCTTGGGACTCGAGAAGATTCTTCTACTGCCTCAATCCCCGCTAGTTTTTGCAGCCAGAAGTTATGGGGACTTACTTCCTGGCACTGGGAACCTTGACTAAGGGGTATGATGGGGATCAGGGCTCCTTGTTCCTGAGATATCCCTCCCAAGTTTTTATCCAGCACACATGGATATGGGATCAGCCCATTCTGCATCTCCACCATTCCTACCAGTCTGGATGGATGTGGTTTCTTTAATTCCATAGTTGTCAGACTTCCATTCAACCCAATTTCTGACAGTTCTGAGTGATGGTTTTTCTATAGTTTAGTTGTAATTTTGATGTGGTTGTATGAGGAGGCGAGCTGTGTTTACCTTTGCTGCCATCTAGACTGGAAGTCTGGAGTCCTTAATTTTTTAATAAGTTCTGTGTAAACTTGTAAAGAGGATAGCAGGTTTTGTTTTGTTTTGTTTTGTTTTAAGCCAACACACAGAAGCAACACCTAAATCATAGGCAGAAGAAAGAAGATAAAAGAAGAAATAAAGAAATAACAAAAAAAGAACACTGAGGAAAAAATGGATGGGAAAGAAAAAAGAGACAGGAAAGGTGGAAATAGGGACCAGAAATTATATCTGTCAGCTGGGAATAAAAAGGTACTGTATTTAAATCAGGTTTGCCACCTAGACCAAGTCACTTAGTGTTTGAATAAAGGTAACTTCCTTTTCTGTTAGGAAATGCTGAGAACTCATTAATAAAATCTAAAGTGGCATTTTCTTTTAAAGAAGGAAAATAAGTCCTGCAGAACGTATTTGAGGAGAGGGGGAAGGAGATTGCTCAACCTTATGGATGATATTATCAGGCTGCGAAATGAGAGGATGTGAGAGAAAGGAAAAGGTGAAAATGGACCATATAACGGAAAAAATAATGCCAACATAATGACAGTTCACATTTGTACAGTGGTATACAAGGCACTTTGGAGTACTTTGTCTGAAAGTACTAAAAACAATGTGTCTTTAATATGGATAGGGAGATGAGAGATATAATTCTAGTTGTAGGTGAGTCTCTGGTGTGACTGGGTGGTGGTAAAAAAAATGGTGTGTCAAAAGAAAAAGACAGGAGAGCAATCCAGAGGAGGATAGATATTGGAAACATTGAGTATCTAAGCAATACCTTCTTAAGGGAAAGTCTATGGAACCTTATATAATATCATATAACATATTATATTGCCATGTTAATGCCATTGGGAATAACAAAATGTTTTCCAGTGATTCAACTACAAGAGATAAGTGAGTTCAGACTCAGGCCTTGCAAGGGCACCAACAAAGTTAATTAATATAAGCTGCATTATGAAAGGGATGTCTCTTTTTAAAAAAGAAAAAAAAAAAAAACTATGGGCTTGACTTTCATAACATCATTAAGTGAGCCAAAGATGAAGGCTATTTTTATACTCTAGAGAGGGAACGCTGTCAAGAGCCAAGCTGAGTGTTCTCAAAAGGATTTAAATGTGACCGGATGGCAGAGGTAGGCAGGAGTAACGCAGCTCTTCTGTGTTGCGTGGGAGGTTTTTGTTTTGTCTTGGTTTTGCTTTGGAATTGGGCCAAGATACCCCGGCATGAGCCAGACTTGCAACAGGCCAGCAGTATCGCAGAGCTGTGCCTTCCGTTGCCTAGCACAGGAGCCCTAACCTGACCGCACCTTTGAATCACCCAGGAAGCTTTCAGAGCTCCCAGTCGCAGTGTGTTTGCAAGCTCCCACGTGATTCCCAGGGACAGCCCAGACTGAGAGCCACTGCCCAGAGTTTCAACAAACATGTAAATATATGAAGCCTTCAAATTCATCATAAAGCTGGGGAGGGTTAAAACTTTGGAAACTGAAATCCCCCATTCATTGTGAAAGAGAATTCTAAAGTATTCCTGAAAATATGACATATTATAGGTATAAGTCTTATACCTAAAAGACTTAAGATTATGCCCAGGAAGCATATGGAAATGAAGGAGAGATATAATTGCTCGTTGTCCCAGGTAAAATTTCTTTTAATTCAGGTGTAGTTGAGAACTTAAGTGTGTCAGACACCAGGGGTCTTGCATATTTCAAGAAAAGCTATAAGGACACTGTGAAAAGATGAGAATGAAACCTGAAGATCTGAAAAGGGAACCATATTAAGAATAAAAATGTTATTAGACAGCTAGTACTTTTAATCATTATTTAAAAATGTTTTTAGGCACCAAAAAATAAAATAAGCTAGAAAATAAACCAGAGTAAAGGGAAACAAAAAGAGGATGGTCAAAAAGAGATGTTAATGTTTACAGTTAATACAATGTAATAAATTCAGTCAGACATGTAAACACTATTTCTTCCTTACTAAAAAACAAAACAAACAAACAAACCTTTAAATATTATGGGGAACCAAACATAGTAATAGATGTGAGAATACATTAAAAACAAGACTCCCTATGCAGACCAATAGTATATTTAAATACAAGGGCATTTTAGATATAAACCTGCCTCCCTCCTAGCCAGGTTGTTACCTTTAATTCGGTTATCATTTAAAGTGATATATAATAAAGGATGCTGAAAAGTGAGGGTTCCTCATTCACCTTCTGAATCAGGGGACTGCTCTGTGAGCCCGTCTCCCCCTAGGAGTCCGTGGCAGTATCTGAATCCACCACAGGGACTCCCTTCGTCTTTTTCACTTAATTTTTAATCATTTGCTCATCGGCAAGCACTTACTGTAGCAATTCCATAATGCCCTGCTTTCAGGCACATTCATACTAATAGATGTTATGTTCACTTAGGGAGAATATAACATGATATGTAAGAAATATAATATTAAGAAGCTAAATTCCAGACTAAGTGAATCAGTACATTTTAAAATATTCTAATGAGACTTAAGTGGCTGTATTATAAATGTGTGTTGGTTTTATGCACACATGTAAATATGTGTATGGATCGGGATGGATCTCTTGAGATAGATGTGACTGGCTGTCATTTATCCACGTAAGTATTAACCAATTTAGGTGACTTCCATCCCGAAGTTATTTCTCCCTGTCTCTTAGGGTGTCCTCGGTCTCCCTACATAAGACTACAAATTCCCTTTTGACTCCTCCTGTCTGCTCAAAGTTTATTCCCTTCTCCAGCAACTTCTGTGCTTGGTAACCTTTAGTGCAGTTAGGGAGTTTGTTCACATTACATCAGTCTCACACTATTTGTTGAACCTCCTGGGGAGTTTGCTGAGGAGGAAGTTACTGGGTAAAGACCAATAAGGCCAGTTAGCATCCGGCTGACCTGCCCCAGGGGGTCTAACAGTGACAGCGCAGGAATGACAGCTCTCCCTCTGTGCACAAGACTCCGGTGAGGGGGCACAGCCCAGGCAGGTTCATTTGTAGGTCAATAGTTAATTAGGGAAGCTCTGAGGAATACACAGTGGATGCAAGAAGTAACATACATATAGTTAGGTTGGCTGGAAAAATAGACCCAAATTTTATCACAGCATCTTAGGGCATGGCAGTCTTCCCACAGTGTTCTTAAAATCATGGAACTAGTAACTTCTATAGGTTGTAATGTTGATTTTTTTAAGTGTTTCTATGGGTAACACCTCTCTAAGTATGATGTGATCCTTGTTATCATTTTTAAGTGCCAAGAGTTGATAAATCTTAACTTCATAAAACCCAGTGGTAAAGAATGCAGGTATTTTTCCTCATATCTTGCAATATTTTTACTTAAAAAGTTAAACTCAAGAAAGTATGTGGGTTGCACAGGTAGGATTAACCTCTGAAATGGGGAGAAAGTACATGATATTACAGGCCTCATTTTGGGATAAAGCCACAGGAAAAGTCCACCCAAACAGGAAATCCTAAATTCTCTCAGAACTACCAATCTAATCATTCTAGTCAAGGTTCAGACTCTTCTGTGAAGCCTAATTGAACCTCCCTTTATGGGATCTTGGATTACCATTCCATTTTCTTTTAGTCCTCTATGAGTGAATTTCCCTAAAAACCTGTTTTCATACCGATTTCACAGTATGTCTAGTTGAGCCTCAAGAACAAATATGTCCCTTTTTCAGCAGATGGCTTTTGTCAGTTGGAAGCCTACAAGCCAATTGTCAGAAAAATAATACAATGATGGGGGAGGGGCAGTTGCTTTGACAAACATTCCACAGCTTTTTTTGTAATGAACAAACTCACTGCATAAAACTGCCTCAAGGCTGTAGCTGAGCCAAAGCTTCAGACGAGTATTTTCCCTTTTAAAGGCTTTCTGAGAATCATAGATCTTAAAGCTACAAGGAAGCTTAGCTGCCATCAGTCCCCTCATTATTTTTACATTTGAAAAAACTGAGTACAAAGAGAAAAGGTGCCCTGTCCCAGGTCACATCACATTAGAGGTAGGCCAGCAGTTAAAGCCCAGACCCTGCCTGTTAGCTCCTGTGATAACGGAGGAGTGAGAGCTGTGATTCCCAACTCTCACTCCTCCGTTTAAATGATATGGATTGGTTACCATTCTGTGTGCTGTCGCTGAAAAAAATCGCTGCTTTCACCAGATTCAAAGTAATTGTCATTTACCGAGTGGCTACCATCTACTTCTCCCCACTTAAAACAAACAAACAAACAATCCCATGCAGAAGTATTATTAAACCTATTTTACAAACGAGGAAGAAAAGTGTTACAGAATCGAATGGCTGAGTCAGGATTCAAACCCAGGTGTTTCTGCGTGTGGATCTGGTGCCTTTTTCTCCTATGCTAAATTGTCTCTCTTTGATTTATTTTCTTGGTACTTACAGTATTATAGTCTGATAAGAGAGTCTTTATATATTACAATGGATATCAATATCTCTTTTGTTAATAAACATCTTTAGAGAAATTATCTAGAATAATACTCAAGTCACTTCATAATGAAGCCTTGAAGTTCATTAAGACCTTCCCCAGTTGCAATAAATCCACGTATAGGGAGCTAGAAATATGTCCATATTAAATTAAGTGAAGAAAGCAAATTGCAGAGTAGTGTCTCTGGTATAATCCCATTTATGTTTGATTAAACGTTACAGATGTGCTTTAAATTGGTTCATGATCAGGAGCCAGATGGCCAAGCAGAGTATTAGGAGATTATTTATGTATCATTTTAATTTTTCATGATTGATGTATATTATTTTAAAAACCTAATTTTTAAAGAAGTATGTGAAAAGATTCTTCATAAATCCTGTACAATGTTACTTTTATTGCAATTAGAAATTAAAACCAGAAAATCATTATTACTGCTTTGAACTGTTTAAAATTTGTCAATCATATGAAATAGGGTAGCTTTTTCTGCTGTTGTGTAAACACTTGTAAAGCAGCAGCAGCAGCAGCAGCAAAGTGCAGCATGGAGCTGCTGCCCAGTAATGGTTAATTTTCCCTCCACAAGACCGGAAGTACCGAAAACGAACCTGGATTCCAAATGAAAGTCCTTGCAGCTTAGAGCATATTATAAGATCTTCGGGTTTGACTTTTTACCTTGAATCACAAATTTATTGCTCGTCTGCCACCTTTTTCTATCTTGTGTCTATTCTTAAGTTTTTTTCCTTCTCCTGAGCCCTTGCCCTGTTTCAGGATATCTTTGCATTCTTTCATGTTTTTGTTTTTGTTTTTGTTTTTGATAATAGCCTGGGGTTTTTTCTAGGCACCTAATAGATTTTTTTCTTTAGGACTAAGTTCTGTTGTTAACAGTTTTCATGTTGTTTTTTTTAACTCTGACACTGGAAAGTTCACATTTTTAGGATTCACATTTTAAACTGTGTTTATTTTACCTTCTGCCTTTCTTCTCTGCCAATGAATACATTTGTTTCTCCATTTTAAAAAGTGTCTTCCTCCAGGTGAACATGACTGAGAAGCCACTGAGAAAGCCACCAGCCAGGCTAAAAAAACTCAGGATCAAGAAGGAGGTAAAGGATTTCACGAGAAAAGACCTAGAGGAAAAGATGCAGGCGGTGGCCGAACGCAGGAAGGTACCTGAGCTGGGCCGGGGGCAGGTCTGCCTGCTGCCTTTCATATCAGCAGCTTTTATACAAATTGCATGGATTTATATTAATTATTTTCATGGTCAGTATGCTTCTTATGCTGTATGTTTAAATTTTTTTTAATGTGTGTCATGAAGAAATGAGACAATATCTTGAAGTTGGTTGACTTAGTTTCATCCATATAGCCTCAGGAAGCAAAAGCCAATTCTCAACACTCAGTTAAGAATGGAGTTTTCTTCATAGGGGAAAAGAAAAACGTTATTTGAGGCTAGAGGGGAGGGGAGGTGCGGGGGAGGAGGATGGGAGCTGAGAGAAGGGTGTGCAGACCATCAGCAGCTCCTGCAGCACCTGTGAACATGGTCCCCAGATCCCTGTGACAGCCTTCATTGCTTTCTCTCTTCTGGGCTTTTCCAAATAGACTAGGAGCTCCATGAGGGTAGGGAGTGCATCTGTCTTCTTCAACAATACTTCCTTAACTTAGCTTTGTAAAATGACTGAATAATAAAATTGAAGAGCCATAAATGTTAAATACAGGCAATGTTAATGAAAACTTGGAGAACATTATTTGGATTCTTTTTCAATATTTAATACTGCTTTTCAGATGAAAGAAGAAGAAATAAGAAAAAGGTTACGGAATGACCGACCTTTGCCCCAAGTCAATCTCTCAGATTCAGGTGAACCAGGTGGGGCTGAGGTTCCATTTGCCAAAAGACTTAACCCTGTAGGTTCTCCAGTGTTTGAACCGTCAGACTTGCAGGGAGGAAAGGTTTTGAAAAGGAAAAAGAGCAAAAGTGACACGACCTCAAATGATAGAAACTACAGTTATGAAGATATTGGCGTCGTGGAGTCAGACATGTCCTACAACCAAGAAGATGACATATTCTAATAAGCCATTTTATGTGAACTCCTTGAAAAGACATTCATTCCCCCAGCCGTGACATGCTTAATAGGTCTCATCTTTTTCTTTGACTGCCTGATCTCATGGACTCGAGGTTAGTTGAGAAAATTAAATGGGTAATGGCTATGCTACCTAAAAAAATAAATAAAAGGAAGATTTGACTACTTTTGGTATTAAAAGTTGGCAACCTCTTTGATTGTGGCTTCAGATACTGTGAAGACATCTTATGAGTACCTCCCAGTTTACATTAACGTGTTTCTGCTGAATGACACTGAATGAAACCCTGCTTTTTCACTCCTGCCCCTTGGCTGTGTCCATCCTCTGAGCATCCTTTAAGACAAATTCCATGGATATTATCAACTGATAGTCATTGGTGCCCGTATAATGCCAAGATGAATCTCCATTTTGGGGTGCAGTGAATAAGGAAACTTCATTCAGTGCAAAACAGTTCAACTGTGATAGAACACAGCTGTGAAAACATCATGGCTACGAGGTAGCTCTGGGGCCAGCCTCCCTCCAGCTAGACAACCCTGCTCCACTCCTTGCCAGTCTGTTCTGCTCTGTTCTGATGAGACATCTTCGGTATTTCAGCCAGGCAGCCTCCAGTCTTCAGTGGAAAGGAAAAACTTGCCCTCAGAGCCATCGAGGAGCTGGCTTATATGGACTGAAGTCCTCACCCTTGCCTCTGATTGGTCTATCCTCATGCAAATGAGGGCTACAAATCTATTCAGTTTGATTGGTCCAAATGGCACTGATTCATTACAATAGAGCTGCGCTGGTTGCTTGGAGCTGGACAGCTTCAACTGGGTAAGGAAAGCCTCAGTCCTATTGGTTGAAATAGGATTCCAGGAACTCCTTTATAAGGGCTTGCTCAGGTGGTAGAAACACACTGAAAGCAGCCAGTTCAGTGCAGAGGCAGGCTTCTCCCTGAAATGCAGTTTTCACGAGAGGACCCTGTATAGAAATGGTTGCTAGACTTCGTTTCTACAAATTTGAGCCCAGTTAGCCACCAAGAGCCTCTCTTAGCAGGTATCATTTTTCTCAGGGTTCACAATCTATATTATGTATTTTAATTATCTGTATGCTTCATGTGCTGTCTATCTTTTTAAATTATCTTTGTGTTGTAAAGGAATAAAGCAGTATCTTGAAGTTGGTTAAATTACAGGTTTATTTATATACCTTAAAGAAGCACTATGCAATTCTCAGAGCTAAGTACAGTATAGTTTCTTTCATGTAAAAAAAGAAAAACTTCAATTGTGTCTAGAGGGTAGGAGGAGGCCCCGGGGAGGAGGTAGAGAGCAAGGAAGCCTTAACTCCAGTGCCTTACTTCTCGGCAGGCGCTCTGGGCTAAAGAACTGGGGGCCCTCATCCCATTGGAATTATACTTTTGTTCTTCTCCCTGACCCCTCCCCGCACATCCAGTCAATCACGAGTTCCATGAGTCTATATTCTGAGGATCTCTTGCATCTATTTTCATGCTTTTTCCCTGCCACTACCTAGTTTAAACCACCTTGTCATCATCCAGCTGGATTACTTCAACAGTTTCCTTGACCTTTATACAATAGTTCTCCGTATAAAACCCTTCCTTGGTCCCTTACATTGTCAAGATAAAGTCCAGACTCCTTTTTGGGATTGCTAAGGATCTTAGTTTTCCCAACCATACTAAACACATACTAAATAATTCAACCATACTAAACTTCCAGATCCTCAAACTCACCACACTTCCCCTAGTCTCTGGGTCTTTGCACATACTGTTCCCTCTTTCCCCTCTTCTCCACTCACTATTTTAATTCACTACTGCCTTCTTGTTGTTTATGTCTCTACTCAGGGGCCACCCAGACCACTTCCTCCAACGGCCCCCCGCCCCCAGGCAGTGTTGGTGCTCCTCTGTCGTAGTTGCCTTTAAGCACCTTGGACTGCTCATCTTTGCACTTATCACCCTGTGTGGAATCGCTTGACATGCTTTCATCTTCACCACTATATACTTCAGATCTACCAGGGCAGGAAAGGAGACTCTTGTTCATGGCTGCATTCTTGTACCTCAGAAAGTGATGGCATATCCTAAGTGCTATGTAAATATCTCTTTAGTGGATAAATCAGTGTACGCACATCTCTTCCAGAAGCAGGGGGGCAGTCCCAGGAGATGGTTCGTTGTTCTGGGAGCCGTGGCTGGGGGAATGCCCATTTGATCTGAGACTGAGGGACTCTCATCACCTCCTGATTATACATTCCCTTTGGGTTGTTGCAAATGGACATCTTGGGTCCCGTCCCTGTAGCCCATAAGACTGAGGACTCCTTCAGCCAGAGAGGTAGGATAGTGGTGGTGAAGCGGGCTCCTTTCAACACTTATTTTAGAACCAAAGCCTTTAAGAACCAGAGTTTACTTTTTTCTTTTTATTAAATTTATTGGGGCAACATTGGTTAATAAGATGATACAGGTTTCTAGTGTACATTTTTATGACACATCGTCTTCATATTACATGTGTGCCCACCATCCAAAGTCAAATCGCCTTCTCTCACCATGTATTTGAACTCTTCCTCTTTACTATCCTCATACCCCCTTCCCTCTGGTGTTCACCATACTGTTGTCTGTGTCTATGAGTTTTTGGTTTTTTGTTTGTTTTTCTTTTTTCACTTACTGCTTTCAGTTTTATATCCCGCGTATGAGTGAAATCATATGGTTCTTAACTTTTTATGTCTGAATTATTTCACTTAGCATGATATTCTCAGGGTTCATTCATATTGTTACAAATGGAAGTGTGTCATTTTTTTCTTATGGTTGAGTAGTATCCCATTGTGTATCTGTGCCAATCACCTATTGAAGGACACTTCCGTTGTTTCCATGTCTTGGCCACCATGAATAATGCTACAGTGAATACAGGGTGCATATGTTTTCCGTAGTTGCTATACCAGTTTACGGTCCCACCAGCAGTGAATGAGCGTTTCGTTTTCTCCACAGTCTCTCCAACACCTATTATTACTTGTCTTGTTGATAATAGCCATTCTAACAGGTGCGAGGTGGTATTTCACTGTAGTTTTGATTTGCATTTCCCTAATAGCTAGTGAAATTGAGCATCTTCTCATGTATCTGTTGGCCATTTGTATGTCTTCTTGGGGAAGGTTTCTGTTCAGGTTCTCTGCCCAATTTTAATTGCATTTTTTGTTTAATATCGAGTTGTATGAATTCTTTATATATTTTGGACATTAACACCTTGTCAGAGCCGTTGCTTGTAAATATCTTCTGCCATTTGGTTTGTTGCCCTTTTGTTTTTTTGGTGGTTTCTTTTGCTGTGCAGAAGCTTTCTAATTTGATATAGTCCCTTTACAGCATGGCATTGGCAGAAAAATAGACACGCAGACCAATGGAATAGAATTGAGAGCCCAGAGTTTACTTTAACAGTGTGACCTGGAAAGTCCTGTAAGCTCTCTGTGTCTCATTACCTTATATGTTAATTTGGAAGAGCCACCTTCGTGGAATGTACCAAATCACGTAATGTGTTTAAAAGTGCTGTGTAAACTAGAATATGCCATAATATTTATAGACTGTTATTTTTATAAAATCTTATGTGAGCAACATGATGTTTTTCATCTATCCTGAGGTTTTTCTATAAAGATTAACTTGTGGTGCTTATGTGCCAATCTCATAAAATCTTGGAGTAGCTAAAAATGATTGCACTCAGACACTTAGGAAAAGATTTGGATAGCATTCAGATCACTACAAATAATAAAATTTAAGTGACCAAAATATATTAAATTTAAATATATAATAATTATTATAAATTAAATTCCCAGATTTGATAAATATCCAAGTAATATTTTCACTTGAAATCTAATGCTCTTGCCTATTTTTATAGTGGCTTGGATGGCATGTTTGTTGAGTTAAATATAGATGTAAACACTATCCTCTGGCTTGATAACTTCTGTACATGTATAAACATGCTAAGGAGTGACACTCTAAATGACAACTGTGTATTTTCTTAGCGAGACCATCCACTTTCACAGGATGGGAAGTGAGACAATGAAAATGTGGAATACTTGCTCTAAGTATATTACTACTCACAAAGCTACCTGAGGGCTGGGGACAAAGGAATGGAGGCTGAGGGACTCGAAGCTTTCCCACCGTCAGTCACACAACACCAGCACCGACTGGAAACGAAGCTTGTGTTTGGACCTGCTCTGCCTCCAATGAACTACCAACCACATTCTTGCAACATTTAAAAAAAAACCCACTTACAAATGTAAATGTGACTGCTTTTCATCATCATGATTGTCTTTTCTCTTTTCTTTTTTTAAAGGATGATTTTCCTTGATTATAATGGAAAAGAAAGATTGAGATTTTTAAAACAGAGCCTCTGCTTTCATGTTAATTTTGTGGAGAAATAACATAATTGGTTTTCTCATTCTTAAAACATAAAGTTTTGAACAACCTCTAGGGTATTTCAACTAAAATCAAACCACAACCTTCAGGAAGTTTTGAGTAAAGAAGACAAAATTGGGTAACTGTCTCTACAATCATTTTAATTGAGGGCAACTGAAAAATGCCTGTATAGATTTTTTCATGAAAGGTGGTCTTGTTGTGTTGAATAGGAAATAATTTGATGTCTAGTAAATCCTCTATTTTGGGGGGGGACCTTATGGATAACTTATTGATGTTTACAATAATATTTAAAATGTATATTTAAAAATATTTCACATATATTAAAAATAGTACACATCATAAGATTCTTATGTTAGCCAAAGTAATTTTGCAATCACAGGAACAAAAACAATTTATCATAAAGTGTTGCTATAGTGACTACCAGTAATTTATGTCGATGCTTATTTCTGTGTTTGTATCAGGAAACAGCTAATATTTGAAGAAGTCATTATACAATAAAGGCTGCATTCTAAAGCTGTGTAATGCTACCATGCGTCAGCAAGTAGATCACTTTAGCACCCACGTAACCTATACGTGTCCGCCTTCTTTAAGACGGTGGAATTTACATCTC